CCAGTCAGTCAGAAGTTCCAGCTTATTGCCGGATACAGGCCAGACCTGTTTTCTATGAGCCTTGGCCAGATAAACCAAACCACAATTGGGCCAGATGTGGCATGCCATCATACAAACAGTGCCATCTACGCCAGGCCTTGCCCATATCTGAATGACATACCACTTACCATGCCAGCTGTCAGCCAGCAGTGCCGACTTAACACCAGATCCAGGCCAGACCTGTCTACTATGTGGGGTAGTGATCGAAAGAATAAGATTATGGATACAAGCAGCAGAAATTAGATTTCTCTGAAGGGTGGTTGGCCTTCAGAGAAAGGGCAAGAAGTTCAGTCGTTCACAAGGGGCTCAGAGTACTGTACTGCTACTCTTCCACATTAAAGGGAGCGATTTGAGGTGGTTCAGATGCCCGTCTCCAATCCACATCCACTGCCACAGCAGTTTGTTAGAAATGTTGAAGGTTTAATGAATTCATGGGTCCACTTAAAATAGTGCCACAGTGTTCCAGTGGCGTTTGATTAAAGACTAATTAAACAAGGTTAATGCTGCATTTGATTCAACTCACAGCTCATAATCCAGTCTGTTTGAAAAAGTAGCCTGGAATAGCTCTTAAAGTTGGAGATTCAACTGGAAAACTCCCAGTTTCCATCAGTGCTCTGGTCCTCTGTTAGTCATGGAACACTAAAGGTTCAAGAGATTCCAAACTATGACTGCTGTGACCCCTGTGCTATCATGCCCAAAGGACATATTAGCATATTAGTCAATTATCTTATATGTTAAATGCAGATAAGAAGCAAGTGGACATAGCATCTGAATTTCAGGAACAGGATCATTCACACCCCTTCCAGCCTCAGGCTATGTATATGCCCCTTTCACCAATACCTGCTGTTCTCATTTTGAGCATATCAAACTCAACCAAAACTGAGGGTAAAGGCACATTATGATGTCATACACAATGTCTTTTCAGTGCTAAAGAAGGAATGTACTTATATATCCCAAATGGGTTTAATTCTATTTTTATGGCATAATACTAAACTAGTAAGTTTTGCAACTAAGACTTACCTGTGGGTTCATGAGTAAGGTGAGGAAAAAATCAATGGATGTCCAACAGCAGGGTAAAGAATCTGCCCTGTCCCTAGCATCCTCTTCATACATAATACTTAGACTAAAGCAATGAACTGAAGCACCAGCAGCATATTTACTCTACTGTGCAGCCAATGTCAAACTCAAGGCAAAAGACAGCAAAATATCTTACTTCTGGGCTCCAACAAAGTGACAAACTGTGTAAAAACTCAGTCCTCCAATCCTCCTTATGCAACTCAACAGCTTCTTTTTAAAAAGGTGCTTTCTTTCTTTCTTTTTGCTAATTAGAATATGAGAGATTTAGCAGATGGTGACTGGACATTCGATTTCTTTAATTACTGTTAAACTAAATTTGGTTGGTTGCTGCTATTAAAAAAATGTTAAAAAATGTTCATAAACAAACAAGGAGTGGAAATTTTGAATATATGCACTTGAAGCAAACCTTTTTGATGACTGCCTCTGTCAGTGCGCCCCAGGGCAGCTGTGGCTACAATGTAGCTTGCCATCACCAAGGTGCGAATGTGTGTGAATGGGTGAATGACTGAATGTAGTATAAAGTTTTTTCTTTGGGGTCCTTAGGGACTAAGTAAAGTGCTATACAAATACAGGCCATTTACCATTTACTTAACTAAGAGAGAGTATTTCTGTTCCTGTGTCTGACAAAATCCTGGAGATCCTGTACTTTGAGTACCTTATGCTAATACACTTAAAAACAAAGTCAAGCATGAACATATCCAACTTAATGCATTATGTAATTTTGTACCATAAACACTGATTTATTAAGTGACTACAGGCAATGCTGAAAATGGTAGGAACCCCATGAATGCACTTGTTTCTGGTACAGTTTGCTTTACCTCAAGATACCGTTAGGAAAACAAATGTATAAAAGTATTATTTTTTGAAAAATGACACGATATCTCTTTTGGCATGTCTTCATCACCAAATGCAGATCATGTGCCTCCATCTCACTGTCCCAGCATCCTCCACTCTCACACCAGCCCTCTGCATGTCTTCCTTCACTATATTCATGGATGTTCTTTTTGGTCTTTCTCTTTTTCTCTTGCCTGGCAGCTCCATGTTCAACATCCTTTGTCTGTTTCATTCTCGAAACCATACTTTACAGCAGGTCACACTACTATTACGTAAGGCTTCCCTTTCTGTCTTGCTGCTATCCTTTTGTGGCAAAACATACATTTTTGATAAGATCTCAAAAGAATTAATCTTTTCCAATTTCAGCTGTGGTTCATTGTTTAGCACTGTTGCCTCACAGCAAGAAGGTCCTGGCTTTAAATGAACTAGGTGGGGGTTGTCCAGCTACTCTGGGTGGGTTCTCTGGCTTCCCCCAACAGTCCAAAGACAAGGATCAGTTTAGTGATTTTAAATAAGTTGTGACCATTAATGGTTGTCTTCCTCTACATATACATATATACATACATATCTCTATTTAGGTATATATCTATATCTCTCTCTGTCTCGATAGAGAGAGAGAGAGAGTGTGATTGAGCATAACCATCATGCTCTTTGAGTACAAATAGGTTTTGTGTTTACGCTTCATGCAGCTGAACGTGGAGCCCTACATACCACTATGTTTACCCAGGGGATGCTGTACCTTGTAGGAGGAGGCTGTCAGAAATGACTACAGCAAGACAGCTCCTCCCAAAGCAGAACCAACTTTACCCCAAATCAGATTTGCACACGATTACACGTCTGCCTCATCACGAGATATTTTAAATACAGTGAGGGTTTCTACAGACACAAACATGCCTCTTCAGTTCAATTTTATTTATATAGCAGTTGACTCAAGTGTAAGGTACAAACTACAATAAAAAATGGACAAGAAAACGGAACACCCCAATGATCATATGACCCCCTATGAGCATTACTTTGGTGATATTGGCAAGGAAAAACTCCCTTTTAATAGGAAGAAACCTCAAGCAGAACCAGGCTCGGGGAGGGGCGGCCATCTGAGCAACTGGTTGGGGTGAGGGGAGAAAGATCAAAGAGATCTTGCAGTAGATAGCCAGAGATTAGAGGATGCCAATGTTCACATTTTGGACAGAGAAGACAGAATCCCACTAGGATTTAAATACCTGGTGCACTCCACCTTTTGGGTTTAGAACTGAAGAAGCCTCTTGAATAAGAGTTGAAACATCTTCAGAAACTTAAATAAGATTTTCTCTTACAAGGTCTTAAAAGTGAATGTAAATCAGGCATCAAGAATTTGATAAAACATCACAGACCTGCAGTTCAATGTAGAGACATTAAAAACATTCCCTTGCTGTAACATGTCCAGGATTACACAACTGAAAAACATGAATTAAATGGATAAGTAAAAAGACTCAATGAACTTATAACTTGGTAAGTATCCAAGTAGGTAAAAGAAATAGTTCTTCGTACGAGGTGTACTATGCAAATGTTATCAAACTGATCTAAACTTCCACTCTTCAGCTGTATGGAAAAAACACTACTTATTAACTTTTATATTTATTTAATAATGTTAACATTTTGTTCAAATAAAGTCAGCACATGACAGTTGTGGATGATGAGGTGCTGAAGCTCATCACCTAATGGTGCCAGTGAAGATTCAAACTGCATCATTTTTGCTGCTGCAGTCCCCTCAGCTTCTTCCGCCTCCCTCCCTCCCTCCCTGCTTTAGCTTCTTTTTTTCGCCGTATCTCCCAGTCTTAGTTGCTCTCTGTCTGCTTCTCTATTATCATTTCACACATCACCTGCTCTTCTTGTGTCCTGCAGTGCACATTCTGACTCAAGCATTTTTACCTTTTTTTTAAACGACATACATCTTTCCCAACATACTTCACTTCCTTATCATTGCACCCTTCCCAGTTGTCCCGCCCATAATGACAGGCTGGGAGGGGTATAAAGTAAGTGTGTGTGTGTGTGTGTGTGTGTGTGTGTGTGTGTGTGTGTGTGTGTGTGTGTGTGTGTGTGTGTATGTGTATACGCTGCAGTTTTTCTGCTGACTTCAGGAACTCCACCTGGCAAAGTCGGCCAGCACTCCTAACCATCCTCCAGCACATATATTGCCACACAAGCTGTGAAATATTTTTTACAGGTTATACAAAACCTGTCCTGCCAATATTAAAATGAAATTGTTGGTTTTTTTTCTTCTGTTATATTTTGTATAAGATATATAAGGGTACAACAATAATTTTTCACCCATCATCACCTAAACAAATACCACAGAAACCACCAATATATATATATTTTACATGTAAATACATTACATGTATATTTACATGTAATTTTTTAAGTCAAATTGAGGGCAATGAACAAAATGTGGGAAACTCAAAGGGCTAGTTAGCTGTTAAATCAAGAATTTCTGTTGTGTCAGCTGGTGTCCTCACAAGGATGCAACTACAGCTACGCCAGTGTGTGAGTGTGAATGAAGCTTGAGGTGCAGGGGTGACGCTGCACGGTGGCAGTCTCCTTCTAAAAGTGTGGGCTGTCATCAGGACATGCTGCTTTCTCACAGTGCTGAATGACAGAATACTTCCTGCACAGTATGTACTATATGGCTTACACAGAATGTGTATTTGTGTGAACGTCTTCTGTGGGCTGTAGCTTGTAGGGATGCCTGGTTTGTGCATTGAGAAGCTTTATTTTAATGTGATGAGTCTGACTGTATGTTTAACTGCGTTCAACAACTTAGAAATGGGATTTTGAGATGTGTGTGTTTCTCTTTAGATGTGCTCAGTACCCAGCAGGCAGGCGTCCTGTTAAGCAACTGTAATTACGGAGCTCTCGGGGGAGAAAAAGCACTGCAGATAGAAACACAGGGTCATACAGTTGCATACAGAAGAAGCTTATAAACGGGCTTTCTGTATAGCTTATACATGGAAAACTTTCCTTAGCATCCTCACTGTAGCATAACTCCACCCTCTGTCTGTGTGTCTCTGCAGTGGTCAGAACCTAGCTGGTGAGTGAAGATGATTCCTGTGCTGATCTGGGCTTTGATATCACTGAATGTAGCAGAAAACGACTTAGATGCTCTGTACCCTGACCTGGAGCATTCGAGAACCATTTATGTCACAGGTGAGTACATGTTCACTTGTGTTTCTTTGTGAGAGTGACAATGTCATTCCAGCGTCTGTTTCTGTGTTTCGTTTAGAACACTCACTCTGCAGTGTCCTTTCTTCCCTCAGTTTATCAGCATGTTCTCAGTGATAAGACTGCTATGTAGGGACTTTTAGCTAACTTAGACAGAGCTATCCAGTTTGGCTTTTATCAGCAAATTAAAACACTGTATATCTCTAGTTTTTACATGGTAAAAAAAAAAACCAACAACACATAACAGCTATTTTGTTATGCAAGTCACTTCGGAAATGTATTTATTTATCTATTGTTTGGTTTTCCTTGTTTGTGAGATACGAACAAAACCAAAGCCCTTTTCATTTAGGCTGCGTGATTCAGTGAGAACGATGATATAAATCTTTACCAGCATGACTTCCAATTTCCTTTTTTTTCAATATCACTAGCTACTGTATAATATTTTTAGTAAAATAACACATGATAAATTAATCTCTATTAGTTATTGTTTAAAGTAAAGTTTAAAGCAGTTTAGCAGCAGCTGAGTCTTTGGCACTGTTTGGATCTATGGCACAAATATTCTTTGCTGTTTGGTTTGAGACCTTGGAGCAGTTTCGTCCTAACTGGACTAGCATTTTTTAACGTTTTTGCTTCATTTTGGGGGTTTTTTGTTTTTGTTTGTTCATTCATTTATTTACTTTTGTTTTTCTAGTCTAATGTGACCATACATAGAGAAGATGGCAGAATGCCAGAACCTCAAAGTTTTCAGCAGGCTTGGATATTCAGCTGCATAGCTGCAGCATTCTCAAATTTGTTATAGTCTGATCTCAGTTAGAGACTAAAATGTAATAGAATTTCCCTCTTTAAAACTGGAGGACAAACATTTTAGAGGGTTCATACCCCACAGATCTGTCTTCTTTCACCTGCACAATTGCTAAGACTAGAAACATCTTGTCAGCTGATCCAAAACATTCGACAGGAGTTCTGGTTGGGACTAGAAAGAAAATCATACTTCTAAAATACTTTGTCTGTCTATTAGCTTCTCTTGACTGCCTCGTTGGTAAATATGGAATCGAATTTAGAACCCTTCTTCTCACATATAAAGTCGCTAATAATCAGTCTGAATTCATTTCTTAAAATCCGTCCCATTGAAGCACTTTGCTCTCTGTTTGGTTGCTGTTTTTCAGAAAATGGCCCCCAACTGTCAGTGGTAGCAGAAAAAACCAAAGTGGTGTCAAGACGAGGGGGAAATGCTACTTTACCATGCACGATTCTAAGGGACCAAACACTGGCACAAAACCGTAAGATGCGGATCAAATGGACCAAGCTGACCTCAGACTATCTAAAAGAGGTTATCATTTATTTGACATGAACTGTCATTAGTAATTTTTTTTTTCAAAACATTGTGTGTAGCATTCCAAAGTATCAATATATAATTTATGTAGAAGCATTATAAACTAGTTTTGTTACACATGTCCAATGGTGGCCTTATTATCTTATTATTCATCACTTGCTAAGACATCTTCCCTCCCACTGTCATCAAAGCACTTGCTCATAGAGGGTCGGGGTTTTCTCTGTTGTATTATTGTATTATTGAAGGGTCTAGCTTACAATATAAAGTGCATCGAGGCGACTGTTGTTGTGATTTGGCGCTGTTTAAATAAAATTGAATTGAATTTCTTGTTTATTCTGTTCAAAATGTGCTGGACTATTCTTAAGAAATTCCAAAAACTGAAAGCAGTGGAAAAGTATAACATGAACACTTTTCATCGTGCTCTAGGTGGATGTGTTTGTTGCCATGGATTATCACAAAAGGAGTTATGGCAGATTCCATGGACGTGTCCACCTACAAGGTTCTTCGGCCATGGATGCTTCTCTAGTCATTACAGAAATCACTTTGGAGGATTATGGGAGGTATAAATGTGAAGTAATTGACGGGCTGGAAGATGGAACAGCAGTGGTGTCGCTGGACCTTGAAGGTATAATATTTGGAACTACTTCAAAAATTACTAGAATTTAAATATGGAAAAGGGGGGGGGGGGGGGGGGGGGGGGTAATGTCAGCTGAAGACAAAAATGCTGGAGCCAGTCAAACACACAAACAGCTGACCAAACACATCCAGTTTATCCTGGCTGCAGGTCATCTCTATAAAGTTAAGGATCTTCTAAATCAAACATCATTATATATTATATACTTTGTATTGTTCCATTATACTTCTGTACTGTGTGGAATTGTGGGGAGCCACCTATAGAACACACACCATCCAATATATATTCTGCAAAAAAGAAGCATCAAATCAACTTTTTATTAAATTAAATATTCTTAAATTTAAAAACTTGGTTGACCTGATAACTGCACAAATAATGTATAAAGTAGGAAACAAATCTTTGAGCCACAACATTCAGAACTTGTTCCAAATAAGACCAAATACCCTTAGAGGAAACCCTATGTAGTAAGGATTCATGTAAAAACAATAAGTTACATGAATGTTGCTGTATCATTGTGTTCTATTGAATCCTTGTCTCATTTTTATATTTTTAGCAAATTTTGGTATTTGAAACAAGCGGGTAGCAACAAATAAGTGTAAATCTATCTTTTCTACTCCTTTTCAAGCGTATTAATTGAGTGGATATAGAGATATTAATGACAACTTTGATGCCTTTGTTTTGTGTATGTGTTTTCTTGTTATTTTAGTTATATTGACATGTTCAAAATAAATTCTATTCTATTCTATTGCATCTCCTTCTCTGCCCTCATTTTCTGTTTTCACCCTGTCTGTGCAGGTGTTGTCTTCCCATACTACCCCCGCTTGGGACGCTACAACCTTAATTTCTACGATGCAGAGCGGGCGTGCCACGATCAGGATGCAATCGTGGCATCTTTTGACCAACTGTATGACACATGGCGTGGAGGGATGGACTGGTGCAATGCTGGCTGGCTGTCTGATGGCACAGTCCAGTATCCCATCAACACCCCCAGAGAACCCTGTGGTGGCAAGAACACAGTGCCAGGCATTCGGAACTATGGGTTGAGAGACAAGGACAAGAACCACTATGATGTTTTCTGCTTTACCTCCCACTACAAAGGTGAGGAACAGCACTAAAACTGTGTTTTTGTAGGTATTGGCGACAAACACATCTGCAATACTGAGGGCAACATGCTCTCTGTGGTTACTGGGTTATGAGTTGATTGAAAACATTTTTACCTGTTTGGCCACCTAAAATTGAAAAAGAAACGAATGTTAATACTATAATACCAACATGTAAGAGTTTCTGAAAGTGTGCTTCTTTTTTATGTGGCTAAAACAGAATCCAGCCCTAACCACAAATGGGATGCTAGTGCCCTGATGGATAGCAGGTCTAAAGAAGTTAATTAACACTTGATATTAACATGTCTTTAAAATGTAGCTAGTGACCTCATATTTATCAAATTGTTGTTGTTGGTTTTTTTGTTGTTTTTGTTTTTTACACACTATTCAATCCAGCTTTAATATGAGTTAGTATGAAGAGCCATGTGAGCTCCAACTGGGATGCTTGCATCTTACTTCCTATAGCAGCACCTAGAATAGATGTGGCTCAGGAGACACACCATGGTTTCCACCACTGGACTCCTCCCTCTTTGTTCAGGTGTCCCAGGGCACAATACTGAATAGTGTGGAACAGAGGGTAACTTAGAGCTTGTGGGGTTAGGATGTGGTATCCGATTTTTTAGACCACCACTCAGTGTAAGTTTTATGTCACAGCTGCGTACTAAGTACTGGTAATTATCAAAATGATTTTTTATGCTTCCACCAATATTTGAGAGATCTTTATGATAATATTTTTAATCATAAAATACAAATATTCTAGTCCAAATTCTTTTAATGTACAGTTTTACAAAATAGCTGAAAAAAGATAGTAAATCACATCATTATCTTATGATGAAAATGACAAATTACAGTTATTTTATTATATTCCGGAATGTCTGAATGTTACACATGGTCTCAACAGATTTTGAGGGCTGTGCAATATGACCAAAATCTCTTATCCCGATGTAAGACATTTCTCATCCCGATAATGATATATATCGCATTTTTGGTAAATTCTGTGAATCTTGGGCAACTCGACTTGGGTAAAGTGTTTTCAGCTGGGCGTTGTGTACCTGGAGTGTACCTGTGACCAATGCATGAAACTATATATCTTTAGATTGTTGTAACGGCTGCCATTTACTTTCTATTTATTACATGGCGTGCCGTGTGAAAAAGGCTGTTCTAACGTTTGAGTCTAAGGTTCATTTTTCAGCACCTGACGGCTCTTTTTTGCTTTTCATCTGATCTTCATCATCTCAATATTGCCGTAAACAGTGTATTTTGCAACACCACAAAACAAACGATGGCGTATAATATGAAATGATGGATGTTTTAACTTCGTCAAATTTGTAAAGGCATCAAAGCATGTATATCCTGTCTTGTTGTGGTGACAGGATCATGTTAGGTTGCAGGAATTTGATACATTGATATATTTTCTGTATGTTCTAACCCATTATGTTCATCCTTCTGTTTTCTTGTCACCTCAGGTCGTTTCTACTACCTGATCCAACCCTTTAAGCTGACCTATGATGAGGCAGTCAGGGCATGCCAAAAAGATGGTGCTCAAATTGCCAAGGTTGGCCAGATGTATGCTGCCTGGAAGCTGCTGGGCTATGACCGCTGTGATGCAGGCTGGTTGGAGGATGGCAGTGTCCGTTACCCCATCTCCCACCCGCGCCGGCGCTGCAGTCCCACTGAAGCTGCTGTTAGGTTCAGTGGCTTCCCTGACAAGAAGCATAAGCTGTATGGAGTGTATTGTTTCAAGGGCCACAACTGAGCCACAACACACATCCAGCAAACAATTACATACACTAACATGCATCAACACATACAATAATGAGCATAATAATTGAGAGAAATAAAACAGAGAAAAAAGCACATTCAAACTGTGATAGTTTTTTTTTTTTAATGGAAACCTTAAGATGTTTTATCCAGACCGATTCATGTTGTGCTTTGTAAACTGGGACCTTATATTCTACAAGGGATAGTTTACGCATATTTAAGGTTTATATTATTTAATCAATGCCCTTCAGAGAGGTGGGCACATTGTTGTGGGGATTAGATAACCTACGGCTACAGACATACTGTCATTTACAAATGGACTAGGCTCGTCAAAGTCTGAAAGTCTGAAAGTCTGAAACGTAACTAATCCAATCTCTGCTGTTCAATGTTAACAAGGTGCTAAGACAGGTACTTTGTAAATCATCCTACCACCCAGTGTTTTATTTTTTTTTATACAAACGTGATGAACCAAACACTAGTCTCATCACCAAATGAAAAAGAAATCATTTAACTGTTAGCATTGTTTATGTTTTCTAAGTATGTAGAATGTGATAATCTAGAAATGTATTTCTGTTAATGACTATTTTTTGATATACTGTAGAAATATTTAGAATATAATTTTTATCTTTCTGGTCAAACTATCCAAGTCTATTGGGTTTACATGAAACATACAATAACGGTGGAAAAAAACACCACAAAAAATGATTTTGCACTGAATTTACCGAATATGATGCATAGAGGAGAGAAGACAAGGCAAACAGCAGTTTGCTCTTTGCAGCAATACAGAATGCCTGGCATGAAAAAATGCTTTGCAGTGCTAGAGTACGTTTTGTTCTTCAGAGCATGCCTTGACTTCAACAGCAAAATTGCTATTAGAGTATAGCTACTCTTGCTATCTATTTAGCGCCTTATAGACTGCTATTTTTGATACAAATGCCATAGATTCTTCTAGCTTATTACCAGAGCCAGGCTTTGCCCTGCTTGTGACTGATGTTGCTCATTAGCCCAGCAATCCCAGTGCAACCTGAGAGGACAATCAAAAAAATCCTGTTATTCAGTTGTGGGTTTGACCTTCAGCATGTGTTTGTAATATCATAAAAATCTGCTTTCTGCATACAATGTTGCTTGACCTTTAAATCACATTTTTCTACTCCATTCCTCTCCTATGATGGTGCTAGGCTGCTGTTAACTAGAATTGTAGCTAGAATTGGAAAATTTAGATTTAAATCCAGGTTATGCTCAGGTTTATGTTTGATCTATTTTAGTCAACAAAAAAGCAAAACAATAAAAAGAAATAAATATTAGTCATGTCACAAAAGCAAAGATTTAGTTGTTTGTACCACTGAAATTGCAAAGTTCTTTGTGCCAAATACAAAGAAAAAAGCAAAATAGTGACTGTTAGTATGCTAACAGACACACATGGCCAATGACCACTACTCACACTGTGGATTGTCAGCCTAAACAAGACTTGCAAACTCTTTGGACCCAAAAATCTACCCTCTCTTTAACAAGTCATATAGTATTAATGCTTTGTGTGTGTGTGTGTGTGTGGGGGGGGGGGGGGGGGGGGGGGGGGCCTAATAAAGTCTTAGTTTACGTTGACAAGAAACTCAATTGTGACTAAAAATAATATGCAACTCTTTTGAATAAATTGGGACTAATGCTAGGCTAGGTCAGAGTATTCAGAAAACCTACTAATGGATACCAGGTAAAAGAATAAGGTGCTGAGGTTAACAGAGATAACACTCTGACTGACTGACTTACACACTAATGTATATAGAGATGAAGTCTAAGGTCCTGAACTGGTCCCCTAATTGCTGTCTAAGTTCTGCAAGGCACAGCCATGAAGCAGCCGACCAGTTCTTCCTGCAGGAGCCTCTAAAGGTTTCTTCCATTTAAGGGTATAACAGTAAATGTAATGTGTAAGCTCACTGTACACAGCCCAGGATGGAAAAGACTGAAGTTTAGGTAATCTAATTGGAATGGTGCAGAGTTGGCTATACTTGGCTACTCAAGTCACTGCACAATCAGAGTTTTGCTATACTTATCATCAGTGAACTGCTGGACGAAAATAGCCTGTAATGATCACACACTGATGATGTGGAAGATAAAATGCTATAACAGCTATGAAGTAAACACTTACTAAAGATCTGTTTTATTTAATTTACTCCTTTTGTATTAGTGTATTGATTAGAATTATTGCAGAAATTACAGTCAATTAAATGAATAGTTTGACATTTGTGAAAGTGCAAACTGGTACGCTAACACACAGCTGTGTAATAGCTAGATCTCATAATGGGCTATAAAATCAAGATATTTCTTGAAAGTAAACAGTATTATGTGTTAATTGGTAAGATTCTGAGCTACATGTTGACACCAAGCTCACACCAGTGTTTAAATTTAGGACACCCACAAGCTCATTAGCTAGCATAGAAAAATACCTGGAAAATCCTGTAAAATAAATAGAATGAAACTAATATATAAGATATATAATAAGATATGCAAGGCAGTTCTTCAGTGCATCAGTGCGGATTGAAAGCAATTTCACAATTGATGTTACATCATCCATATTTCCTACAGTCAAGTTGTCTCAACCTGCTACTCGTTAAATGAAGAAAATAGTGGGGAAATTTTGCTAATTCGTTGTCCAGTGTTTCAAGTTTAGTGCAGCTCAGCTACCTGTTTACATTTGTTACTTGCCTTACTTAGTATGTTACATTTTTCCTAACCAGATTACCTGTTTCTACCAGTTGCTAGTCTAAATTCTGTGTGTAGCTAAAGTTCAAGTAGTTGTCAGGAATATCACATTTCAGCAAATGTTTTCACATCTCTTTACTAGCCTTTCTTTTATGCTAAATGAAGTTACGTGTCTCCTGCTTATCTACCACTTTGTATCTACTGTACAGATATGACAGTGGTATCACTTTTGTCATATCACAAGAAAGTAAATATCTATGTTTTCACCATTTCAACTGTTCATTTTAAAGCTTCTATTTTGTATTCTATTGTCTTTCTGATATTGTTCTTCGAGAACCACGGCATAGAAAACAATCTTAGGGATTTGCAGACAAAGGGATAATAAAAGAATATATAAACCATGACTCAGCCTCTATCAATGTATACAACCATTACTGAATTAACATAAATACATCATAGCAACGATGAGTGATTCCACTGTAGTTGCAGCGGAAAAGAAAAATCATCAAAGTTAATGTCTGCCCTTTATTTGTTAGGATGTGTATTTGCAGAGCTGTAGTTCTTGGGTAATGCTGTAATGTGTAAATGTTTGCAGAGGGAGGGGTCCTGCTTACATGAAAATGTTTTTCCAGTGGGAACACTGAGGCCATTCATGGTGCTGCATCAGTTAATTTTGTAACTGAAATACAGCATGTTGCCAAAGTAAATGACTGTTTTAAAAGCTGAGTGACGGCATGTTGGTTTTCATGCTGATTCTTTTGTTTGTGCTATTTTCAGGAAAGCTGTCTGTTTAACATTACAAAGAGAGCACAGATTATATATAGACATCCACAATAAACAAAGACAGCAGTACCGGTCAAAGATTTTCAGAATTATACAAAAAGGCCTGTTTCAGGGAACACAAAATGCGTTAACAATTTAAAGTTGTTCTGCAGCAATGGAGGTTGATCAAGCCCTCAAAGCTCGTGCTACTAATTCCTACAGGTGTTCCAACTTTTCTGGATCACTTACAACCCCCTCTGTCTGCATACCAGCAGTGCTGGAACACACTGTGGTACCCTCGTGAACATCAGTTGAACTGTCTTGTACTGCAGAAAGTAGTGCGTTGCTAGAAAAATGGTGAGAAAAGGGCAAATAACAAGGGAAGAGAGACAGACCATCATAACACTTAGAAATGTAGGTCTTTCCTACAGAGAAATTGGAAAGAAAGTTAAGGTGTCAGTGAGTACAGTTTCCTTCACCATCAAAAGGCACTCAGAAACTGGGGCAAACTCAAACAGGAAGAGGTCTGGAGCCTGGGGCTCGCTCGGGCCACTTCGGGGGTGGGGTGCCCTCGGCCTCTCGGCCTGGGGCTCGGTCACTCTGGCACAGCTGGCTGCCGGCGGAGCTCACGGGCATGTCACTGCAACCCCCCCCCGACTTCTTCTGCTCCTCGGCAGCTGAGTGACCCCTCATCTGGGACTCTCCTCAGCTCTTTCTGGGACAGTGGCGCGGCTGCCCCTCTGTTGGTCTTCCTTGGTCTCTTGTGTTCTGGAGGCCTCTGGATGTCTGGAGTTTTGATCTCCTCCATACCTGCTTCATGCCCTGGTGGACGGGGCTGTGCACACATGAAGGAACCTTTTAAAAACAAGCGCGTTCATGCTCACAGGTGTACACACGGGTGCTCACACACACAAACTACACCGTTTTTGGCTCCTACCTCAAAGCACACTGTGCGCTGTCGATCTTACGTGCTGCACAATAATATTCAATATTTAGTATTTACTGTCATATTCCCATAGATCATCGTGATGTTGTTTATTATGTTGCTCTCGTTTTCTTCTACTTGCTTTGTTTTTTCATTCTCAACAGGTGAAATTAAAAAAGTATCTACTGTTATCTATTGTTAGCTAGTTTATTGTGATGGTGTTGTTTTTATTACGTTGCTCTTTGTTGTTTGTTTCTCTTCTGTTTTTTTTATCTCCATACAGGGGATCCAGGTGTTTTGTTTGTTTTTCTTTTTTTTTCTTCCTCCCTTTCTCACCATCTCTTCTCCCCTCTATTTTTCTTTCTCTCCCTCTCCCCCAGTCATGTCTGTCCCGTCTTTAAAAAACGAAAATAAAATAAATACATAATTATAATAAAGGTCAATCAAATGGACCGATATGGCAAGGCCATGATGATCCACTTGGTAAAGTAAATCCATTTGGCATCTTCCTTGGCCTTCAGACAACAATTCTGATGGCTAAAGATCCAAACGGGACAGGCAAAAAAAAAAAAAAAAGAAGAGAAGACTTCAAGCTGTAGGTTTGACAGGACAAGTTGCAAGAATAAAGTCATTGCTAAGATGTCAGAATAAGACATAGAGGCTTCCCTGGACCATGAAACATTGCCATTGGGATACTGAAGACTGGAAGA